GATATTGAATGTACATTTATTTTGAAATTGATTTTTGTATAGTGCCCATCCAATAGACCACAGCCCTACACCAAGAAAGCATAAAAGACAGAGGGCTTCTCATATTTCCAGGAAATCTCTTTTCAAAGATGATGAATTTGTAAGTGTAGAAAAGAAAAAACTAATTGCATTGTTATTCTGTGAATAGGTATGTGAATAGTATGACAGATATTTACACATTATTATTTTTTTAAACTTTTACCTAGGTACCAATATCACTCACTAGCCAAAAAAGAAACTGGACTGAGGCAGAAGATGCTGCACTAGTGGAATTCATTTCTTTGTATTATTGCACAGAAAATGATGATTCATGGCCGAATACAAGAATGAAGATTTCTGGGGAAAATGTGCAGCAGCAATTTCTTACAGAACAAAGCAACAAAAAAGGGGAGGTAAGGAAATCTTTTATTTTGTCTTCTTCTATTATAATAGCTATGCTGAGTTAATTTGTATTCTATGCACAGGCGCTCAGAAAAATACATTATGTTTGCCTGAATTTCAAAGCTCATAATTGCCTATGAAAGTTATTTTAAGCTTGGTTGTTCATGATATCATGCACTTACAAATAAATATATAATGCTGTGAATAGAACATTAACTAGCCAAATTATTTAGTTAAATAGTTTGTTAATAGTGATACTAAATTGAATCTTTTATTACATGCAGGAAAATATGCAACGAGTTGGAAAAAAGTAGACCCTGATCTACCATTTTATTACTGGTGCGCGAATGAGGATAGATACCAAACAGGTCCACTTCCTTCATTTAATGCTCCATCAAAAAAAGGAGTTGAACGTTTAGATCGTGTGCGAATTTCAAGAAGAGCAGATCCAGGAGTTTTCCATGCAAACTGTGCAAATCTTCCACAAAGGGGAACACTAAGTGTGCGTGCACAGTTTCACAATAGACCAGAGCCCCTACCACCTCCCCCTATTCGTCAAATGTAATTGTGTATATTTCTTGCCTTGGCAGTAGGGAAAAATGGAAAAGTGCTAAGGTATGCTGACCCCCCCAAAAATGAAAATTGTGTAAAATGTACTGGATGTATCTTGAGTTTCTTTACATTACATTGAGGAAAGTCACCCTGGTTTTTATTTCATGAAACACTAAATGTTACACTAGCTGGCACACCAAAGTATCTGTAAATCACAACTATGTGTTGCTTTTAAACCAGTGAAATAAACTTACCCAAACAAACTTATTTTTTCATGTTTAGTGAGATGCTTCATGTCAGATAAAAAACTGGGGTGACCTTCCACGTGAAAAGGAGGGCGGGAGGTCAGATTATCTTTATTAAACAGAGGTGATTTCTATCATCTTTTCTGTTTATTTGCTCATTGGACCTTGTTTGAGATTTGTTCATTTCATCTCTTGGTGGTCATTTTTTAGTTCTCCAAAACCATCAGCCTTAGTGTAGTCACAAGGACTGGACATAATTTAAATTGAATTCATTGCAGAAGTGCTATGGATGAAAAATTAAATGTATTTTCTGTATGTACGTGTATTATAAATGTTGATAATGTGAATCACATTATGCATCTATAGTAGCAGACAACAATTATTTGCCAAGCTTGTTTGAAAAGCAAATCTCAAATTATGAATGTCTACTTGACCACCAACTACATCTGGTAAGATTTTGTTGAAACTTTCAGCCTCAATTTAGCAGGCCAAACATGCATTTAAATGTTGAATAAACTAGTGTTAGTTTAGTGTAAAGTGTTTTCTCATACCTGAAAATGGTGAATTTAATTGTGCTTTTTATCTTCATGAGCACCCAAAACTCTCCATTGGTGTTGCACTGCTGGTATCTAAATAAGACATGTAAACTCAACTTTGTAAGTTCAACAGTTTTAATAAAAATAAATACGCATTAATGCGTTCTTTATTTTCCATTTATGAATGTTTGACACACAAAATAATGAACCATATACAGTTATTTACTATCAAATCCCAGTGAAAATAAAGTATTGCACAGTAAATGAATGTGTGAAAATCAATTTGTGAAAATCAATTTGTCTGTCCATGTCTTGTGTTGTATAGCCAAATTTTCACATTCAGGTCAAGCTCATTCATTTAATATTTTGGTCCAAGTGATACATCATGCTTGCAAACAAGCTTTCAAATGTTCTACACCAATAATAGGCCAATGGCCTGTTGCTCAACGGCTATTGTACAAAAGATTAGTGCTGTATATGACAATTACCCCAAAAGTGAGACAATAAAACATGCTAAAAGTGGAATTTTTTTCAAAAATAACAAATATTCAATAAAATTAGAATCAAAGAGCTTAAAAAGAACATAACATTTGCAATTATCTGAATTTGTAATACATGTATATACCAAGTTTTGTTGAATAGCTCCCAAATGGCTTGAATTTCACTAGCTGATATGCAAATTAGATAATTTGCATAAATTTCCACCAAAAACTATCTGGAAACTGCCCCAACACATCTATGCACCAAGTTTTATTAAAACATTAAATGGTTCTCAAGATATCACCAAAATAGCCTAAATATTGGTATGTATGTACTTGGAAACCCCATGTGCTATGCGAGAATGACGAACAAATGGGAAACATTACATATCTCCCTGTGAGCATACAATTTCAATATGGCATTGTATAATCTTCCCAAGTTTTGTCCATTGTAGTGCATAAAGGAGAAGGTAATAAAAAAAAAATCATGAATTTCTGAAATTTTTGATAAATTTGGCCACTTTTACTGACTGATTGAAGTGTCATCCAAGCTACATGTGTACCAAGTATCAAAGAATTTGGACTACTGGTTTGAAGAACAAGTCAAAAGTACTATTTTTGAATTGAAGATGTCAACAATTTGTATTTTTAAATGAAATATCGCCAAACAACCACACAAAGTTGTCAATAAACACATGTATGCCTAACACCAAAGCATTGGAAATAGTGGTTAGTTGAAATTCCATTTTTAACCAAATATGACAAAAATATTTGCCAAAATTAGAGAATTAAAGATATGGCCATGGGATGAACAAATCTAGTAGATGTCAACACAAGGTACATACACACCAAGTATCAAAGCATTCAGGCAACCGGTTTTGAAGAAGTCGAAAATAGAATTATTGACCAAAAATGACCATTTCAAAATATTCGCCAAAATGAGGAAATTGAAAATTTCCTTACCAAATTAACAAAACTGATAGAGGACAACCCAAGGCACATGCACTATCAACATCAGCACTATAGACCACTTAGTGTCATAGTAGCATAGAATAAATTTTAGAGTTTTTGGGGGCTTATTTGCATCATTTTTGGCAGATCGACTTCTCATGAACAAATTACCATTTACACTCGTCAAGGCATCCACACACCAAAAATCGAGTCAAACGGTTCGACGGTTTTTGAGAAGAAGTCATGCACAGACAGACGGACGACAGACACAGGACAGAAACCCATCCCATAGGCTCAGCGGACCTATGGTCCGTTGAGCCAAAAATCAAAATCAGGTAATTAATATGTACAGATTTCAACCAAAACCTAATCAAATTTGCACACCAGTCCAGAGCATATACACACCAAGTTTCATCAAAAACCAACACATGGTTCTTGAGAAATTGGTGGAACATACAGACGGGGCAACTGCAAAGACTCCCATTGTGAGTAAAACATTTGGACTAGATGTCGAAAATGAGAAAAGTTGTTGTGTGATGCCAACAACGACGGGAATCAGTCATCCTCCCCCAAATACTAAACTGGTGAATCCCCTTATCTTCAGGCAACACAATAGCCCCCCCCCCCAAAAACAAAACAAAACAAAACAAAACAAAACAAACAACTTGGCATCGCATGTATATGGCTAAATTGTGCTATCTAAGTTTACATGACAGACTGACTCCTTCTGACAACAAAAGGATCCCATGCACCTTTGCGCGTTATAAGGAGTTTTGCATACATGCCAATACGTTTCCATGTTGCCTTAAATTTTATGTGCAGAACTTTAACTGCTGTAATTTTATTTGTATTCAGCAATGGGTGAATATATTCCAGCAACTCGTCTGGTATGTATCCTACAACTCCCCATCCATGACCTAAATTAAGTTGTACAGCAATAGCCTGTGCATTGATAGGATTAGTTGGTTCACTAACTATTCTTGCTAGTACTTCTTCAGAGTTGTTTAACATTAAAGAACCTTCCTCAAGAATATTTTGGTAACATTGTTTGTATGCACTACCAAGCACTTTGAAAGCAAGTGTGTGAGTTATTTCTGTATCAGCATCTGAAGATACTGTTGGATACTACTACCAGTAGTAGAACTAATTTCTCGACTGATCTGCACTGGCTCGAAAGATAAATTCTGATTGGCTACAAAAACAAAAAAACTTGTGGCGTTGAATGCACGTTCATTGTCAGTATTGTTATGCAAATTCAAACTAGCTAATCATTTACAACCTTCCGAGCCAGTGCAGATTAGCCCTAATTTCTGAATAATCATCGGAATATAAATCTAGAGTTCCAAACTGGTCAGATACCCTGTCTGACTGCCTATCATCATCATGATAATCTTCTTGTAACATTTCCCAGTCCCATAAAAGGAGGTATCTTTCTTCCTGTATAATGACAGTACATAATTTATTACAGTCTATATCACAGGGTAACGTCAGGTATTAACTCTTTCATCTGATGCTTTTACCAAGCAAGTTCTATGCCAGATACTTTGGATTTTAACTTTTTTAGTTGAGTGTGA